TTTTTAATATATATATAGTTTTAAAATAAATACACTCTCACACCTCTTATGATACGTGTAGCTTTTGTAATGCATCACATAAAGCCACTGAAGCTTGCCATTGCTTCATTTTCCCAATCAGAATCCGAGTCGGAGAAGTCCTGCATCTTTCTGGCGGGGATCTGGGAAAAGTGATCGAACCTGTCTCCGCTGGCCCTCGCCTGCGGATACTGCATTTGGCATCTGTTATCCTTAGATGATGATGGTGTGCTGAAGGGGTTCTGCGTTGGGATGGGAGGAATCACAACTTTCATCTCTGGTCCAATGGTTTTGTTTGGTGGGAAATTGTCATACTCCACCAAAACCTTTGGAGCTTGGCTGTTGGTCATGTTGGCGTCCATGTTTGTCTGGTGCTCTCTCCTGGGATAGAGAGGGACACTGCAGCTCGAGGTGCCAGCACTCTGCTTGTGTCGCTGCATGTGCTCTGGATTCATTCTGGCGCCCTCCTTGTCGTAGATGTGGGAGGCAGATACTTGGGCGTAGCTGCTGGGTTTGCTTGGAAGAGTGTTCCTGTGGGTGTCCTCGATGCCTTGTAGGTGCACTGTAGACCTGAAACTTTCCTCTAGTCCAAAACCACCCATCTGATGTACTTCAGCACTGTGAAGATTGTCACAAACTGCAATGGAGAGGGGGGAAAAAACAAAACTAAGCAACATGTTTTAGAATGTAGAAAAAAGAAGCCACAAACTTGAAGTTAAAACTACAATGAGTGACACTGAGCAGGCTTGCCCTGATGTTAGAGAGAGTGAGTGAGTGAGTGAGTGAGTATGTGACCACAAAACTAGTGAGTAAAGCTAATAGCTACCTTTTTCCGGAGCCATCCTGTTCTGGACTTGGATAAAGGGACCAGCTGCTGGCGTGCTGCTGACCTTTGTAGACGTTGATGAGCTAACCTGGCGACGAGACTTGGCCCTTCTGTTCTGAAACCACACCTACAATTTTGGAAATCCGTTAATTCACATCTTACCACTCCATAAATCCAATTTTACCACAAGTGTGGAGTAGCCAAGAGTTTCCTGTGATCTTAAGTGACTGTGTTTGCCCTTTGACCCTGCAAAATAAATCAACCAATTCAAGAAAGTGTGGCGTTTAAACCGGACTTCACCTGAATTCTGGACTCCGGCAGCCCAGTCAGAGCCTCCAGTCTCTCCCGTAGGAAGATGTCGGGATATTTAGTGTCGTTGTAAACTTTCTCCAGCACCTTGATTTGCTGTTGGGTGAAATTGGTCCTCTTTCTCCTGTGGGTCAGCATTGCCACGCATTTGTCCGCCCTGGGAACAGGATTTGCGGGGTTGAAGTAGTTTCCACCGTCTGGAGGTCCACATGCTGAAAAGAAGACGCAGGCGCAATTTAGTTATCATTGCGTAAGTTGAGCTCTGAGGCAGCTGTTAGGCCGGTATTTGAAAATTAACTTTTTGTTGGGGTTAATGATCCCAGAGCCACCAACCTGGATTCACGGCGTTGTTCATCTGCAGAGGCCCTTCGTGATACATGTGGAACTGGTTCGCCTCCCCGACGCGCATATTCCCCTGAACTGCAGACATCCTTTCCGCTTTATCCCCGGTGACTGACTGACTGAGCTTGAGATCCGTGCGCTCGCTGGATTTAAATCCTCCTGTGATCAAAGGTAAAGCTGTCTAGATGTGTGAATGGGTCTGCCATCGGGGCCGACCGGCACTGCAGCGGCCGTGCAGCAACTTCAGACGTCTGCGGGCCAGCAGAGGTGTGAAGCAATCACACCTGGAACGATGGTCCTGCCGCAGGTCTGTTTAAAGGAGTTTTAATGGAATCTGCACGCTCAATACACATCGGCAGAGAAAACATTTATCCGCTTTGGCATGGATGAAGCAATAATGGACCCTCAGCCTTCAAAGGGAGAAAGACGGAAACGGCAATTTCCCCAAAAAGGTGGAGGAGTTCAAAGGACTATACCAGGACGCTGTGAGAAAACAGATATAAGCGCAAGCATTAGGTTTTTATTATTATTAATCTAACTCAAAACAGGGCATGATTTAATAATTATGTATACCCAACAAGACTGGCTCTTTATACAGGTTATTCTGCATCATGCCAGCATCCCAGAGTATCCCAAAGCCTAAAAACCACCAACAACAAAAACAAAACAAAGCTGTCAATAAAATCTGAAACTGCAGAAACACTGTTAAAAGGATGACTTCTTACGCCATATAAAAACCCTTTTGTTAGATAGCAAAACATTTATTGCCATCTATAACTGCTATTGAAGAATTTTCCTGGCAGTAAACTTTATTGAAGTGAATTTGCTGTTATATGTGACATTAGTTTGCTTCAGTGACAGTAAGAACAATCAGTTCTGCAATAGACCTTTAGTCCAAGTATAGAGCCCTGATCTCAACCTTAAGGAGTCCTTCTAGAATGTTGTGAACTGTCAAGTCATTAAGCCTTTGCATGTTATCAGATGATGTAACCACAGACTGTGGGGCTTTTTCAAGTTTTTTAAAAAAACAAACAAAAAACTTTTAAACCCTAATAACTGACAAAATATTGAATTGTCCACATCTGTCAGGAAGGTTATAAGTTATGTTTGGAGATAAAATAATGCATAAATTTTCCATGACTTGCCCCCTCACACAAGCCTTACTTTGTGGGAAATGATGCCTCCTGAGCCTTATCAGTGTCAACAAAGCGGATTTCAATACACAAACCACGGTGAAAAAGTACTTGGGAGCAGGCAGGTGTTATTGAATATGTCACCTCCGTTTGATTCAGAGGGGGGTGGGGAGAGAGAGATTGAGTCAAGAGGTCAGGAAGCCCTCCCTCCCCAAAGACAGACTAAACAATTTTGTGCCTCATGTTCCACTTTTTTGCCTGCAGATTGAATTCTGCACTATGCTATGATCTGACAATGCGACAATTTCCAGATTCCTTGCAATATTTCCTCTCACAGATTTTACAGGATAGAGAGCTTACTGGGTTAAGTCATCTGGGGAGTGTAGTGCAAATTTGGCAATGTGTTTGTCAGCGTTTAAAATACAGCACGCATTGTTTACTCTTGGGGAGTACCTACAACACTCCTTGACAGGCCAAAATTTTAGGTAATTCTTCATATGTTAATCCGTACTCTTGATGGAGGTGCAGGGTCCTTTATTAACGAACATCTGCAACAATGACGGACCACCAGGGGACTCTGACATAACACATGCTCTGCTCCCTTTTTTAAATGTACTTTGATCATTTTAAGTCCATGTTTACTTGTGTGTGCATATTTAATGTGTGTCTTTTTTTGTTGCCGCGGCGTAACGGTAATCTTAACCTTTTTGATCTCTGTACTTCGACACTTACTTTTGTTCAAATAGGATTTGCTTGTTGGCTAAAGCATTCACATTTCATAGGGTGCTTTGTCTGGGGGCCCTAATTGGGTATTGCCCCTTGTGCACAGACCAGATTGCTATGCTAAAAATCTGGGTCCTCAAGTTCCTGATGTTTTGTGACATTCTTCTGATGGACCTGGAGATCATAGCATGGACAATTTATTTATTTATTGTTATTGGGGGTTTTTTGGGGGGGGTTTTTTGCATTGATTTGTGATGACAAGCCATGGTAGATTAAAAATGCTAACCTAGTACAGCAACTGCATGAAAATTCCTTGCAGCTTTACCTTAGCTGTTGTGGTATGTTATATAGTTTGTTTAGTTTGGCAGCCTATGACAGACACTGGGCACTGTAATTAGATTAAAAAGCAGATCTAATTTGATTGATACTGATAAGATGTAGGCTGGACTACAAGCAAACACTGGACTAAATTCTTGTGGGGGATTAATACTGCTGCTCCTGTAGCCCCCAAACAAAAGCAAGTTCACACCTGGGCCAGGCCACTATACATTTACCCTGCAGACAGACAGGCAGAGTATTCTCACAGGTTTTCAGCAATGTGTTAAAATGTCACCTGTCTAATGGGCCCTTGTTATAATGTATTTCAGTACAATATTTGTGTATTTGAAGGATAATTTAAGGAGCTGGAGAGCAAGTATTATCCAAAGCATAGGCCAAGTCTTACTGTCAATGTACCTCACCTGGGCAAATGCAGCAATCATCATTAGCTAATTACAAATAAACATCGGGGACATTCGTATAGCATAGTATATATAGTTCTTCAGGCTTTATGAAGGTTTTTTAAAGTTTTTCTTTGGACATTGCCTGCTTTTTCATTAATTTTCTGTCCAGTCCTTGTAACTGATCATTTTCAGGGGGATAGTTATTTTTGTTTGTTTGTTAAGTCACTTTACACTGACCTGTGAATCATTCCGACATAATAAAAAGGCCCCTAAGTCAAGTATTATTGCACTATTCCCAAAGAACTATTAACCGAAAATATGGCATATTCCAGCATGGTGTGCAGTGCGTTTTGAAAACTAAAAAAACAAAACAAAACTGGGAAGCATGCGATTGGCAATGGCTTATTTTTTCAGCATGATGATCCCAAACACACTGGCAGTGCAGTAAAAGCATACCCGGATAGCTCCTCACATCCAAAGAAGAAATCTGAATGTTCCTCAAGAAGCCTGGAGAACTATTCCCAAAGACTTTTTAAAGACATTCCAAGAAAGCTTGACAAAGTGAGTTCAAAATGTGTTGAAGAATAGGGATGATCATACCGGTTATTGACATTGATAGATTGAATCTTTATTTTGAACATGTTGAAAAAGTACAACAACATAGAATTAAAAGAGACAAATAAACAAAGCAAAACAAAAGGAAAACGAGCAACCACAACTACAAATAACCTTCATGTTCAAAAAGGAGCAGGAAGAAGCATAAGCTTATAAAATCGTTATATGGAAAACATGGAAAATCGATAAAAAAGAGACAATTTATCCATTGCATATTTTAAAATACATGTTAATTTTTATATGTGTCCGTTAGTGTACGTGACGGTTAATAAAATGCTGGGGGGTTGTTTGTTTTTGGGCAAGTCTTTTTATCTGTTGCTAAGACCTCGTCATTATTTACATCGGTGAGGGGAGAAAAAACAACCGGAACTTCCGCTAGATTGAAACGGAAGTAGGTACGTGGCTGCTTCAGCTGACAGTCTACATGATGGCGACAGAGGTTCAGAGCGGCGACCTCGACAGCGCTACTTCTAGCCGGCTCGAAGTTTCCATCGATGGCCTCACTCTCACTCCGGACCCGGAGGGCGAGCAGAGCCAGGCCGAAGAACCGGAGTCCATACCCACGGAACCCAGCACAGATAAGCCGGGCGGCGCTGAAGGCGAAGATGGAGAGACTGCCAAATGTGCGATAGAGAGGAAATGGGGCTTTCCTCTGCTGGAGCTGTACGGAATGGCCCTTAAATTTTTTAAAGGTACTTCATGTTTGTTTCAATCGCCAAGCGGTGAGAAAGCTGCTCGAACAGTTTAAAGTGTCGCGCTCGCTGGTTCAGGCTAGCAGGTTGCTAGCATTAGCTGCTAGCTGTCACCACCGGGACTGGTGCTACTGCTGTCAGCCTCGGTGTTACATTAGCTTCACGGCTAACTAGTATCTAACGCTGCTGGCCATTAAAGGGTAAAACAACCACGGCACTTGTGAGTGGCCCCTTTGTGTCACTGTTGTCTCCTTTCTGGGTTTTTGTCTTTGGACCAAAGAGGAGTGACTATACTTATTACCAGTTTGCATATTTCTATGCATGCTTCCTCCACCAAACGAGGAAGATTTCCATTCCAATTGAATGACCGCTTGTTCTGGGATGTGTTCAGGAGCTTTTAAACACGCTCTCCCTCTGCTGTGACTGAAGCGGGACTGCATCAGGTGGCAGCTGCCCTCAAAGATTTTTCCTCCCAAAGTACTCAATGACAAGTTCCTGCTGTGCTGGAGGAATTATTATTCTGAGGATACAACTGCTGCATAGTTTTAGCTCGCCGCCCCTAAAAGCAGTTAACCACGTTTTCAGTCTATGGGGGGGTTTATGTGACGGCTTGACTGTTTTTACACCTGCCCTTTCATATCACTCCTATGTTGCTACTACTTGTAGTACTACTTTTATGTGTGCTCTGGGAGCCATTTTTAGGCCTTCTGGACATGCTGGGGTGGATTTAAAGCATATTGAAATACCATAAGTAGTTGAATAATTGGAAAAGAAATTGTGATATGTGTGGCAATTCTGCAGCCTGACCATTCTAGCTAGTTCTATATGTCTGCTTTACAAAAAGCCACAAATCCTGCAAAATACTGTGTCCATACTTTCCAGTCATCGTACACAAGTGTAAGCTGTATTGAACACTGGGCATTTGTGCTGTTTGTATTATGGCAGAACACTTGTGATGACTGTGCAAACAGGTCGGGGCCTGGCTGCCACTCTGTGTGATAGTAATCTGGGCTTTGTATCCTTGTCAGTGTGTCAGACAGGGTTAGGTCTACTTGCTCAACTTGCTCAACTCAGCTGCCTAAATCTCCCTCTTGCCTCACCTTAAATCAAGCTTTAGGTATGACTAATGTCATCTCAGTGTTTCATTCTTAATGATTTTAACCACAAAGAAGCTTGAAAAGTTTAGAGTGGGAGAGCACAGTTAGGAGTAATTATCTGCACTTTACAGTCTTGGCACAAGAACATAACACTCCTGTACGCGGGAGTTTTTACTACCTTGTTGTGCACACAAGCTGCACTGTAGTATTCACTGCAGGTGGACATTAACAGGATTGCCTGCAAACTCATTGCTTCCACTTTGCTGCCTTCAGATAAAGATGGAAAGGCCTTCCACCCGACCTATGAGGAGAAGCTTCGATTGGTGGCTCTGCACAAACAGGTGTTACTCGGTCCTTACAATCCCGATGCTTCACCAGAGGTCGGCTTCTTTGATGTCCTGGGCAACGACCGCAGGTAACACCAGCTTGTGTGTGTGTGTGTGTTCATGCATGTGACCTTTGGATTGTAGTGGACATCTCAGTGATTTTTGCTTTGTATCAGGAAATACACACTCGTGCATTTTTACTCATTAACAGTTTGAAATGGATTCAGACAATGGGTGAAAATCATCCTGTTCAGAATGAAATTTAAAAAAAATAATGCACCTATTATTGTCTACACCTTGACCTGTGTGCAGGAAAGAGTGGGCTTCACTGGGTAACATGGAGAAGGACGATGCCATGGTGGAGTTTGTCAAGCTACTTAACAAATGCTGTAACCTCTTTGCCCCATACGTCACATCACACAAGATCGAAAGGGAGGAGCAGGAGAGGAAAAGGTGGGAGGATCAGCTTCTTTGTCCAAGGGACATTCATCTGCTAGTGTGTCTTAAATTTAGTTTCTACCTCAATTTGCTCTCTATTTATCTAGAAAAGCTGGAAAGCTGTGGTTAGTTTGGGTGGATAGGTTATACGGTATTTGACCTTGTTAGAATGTCGTGATATTCATGTATATTTCACAGTTTGGGCTTTTGTTTGCATGTAAATTATGCATTTTTATCCATTTGCATTATTTAAATCATTCAATTCTCTTCTTCAGGAGAGAAGAAGAAGAGCGTCTAAGGCGGGAAGAGGAAGAAAGGGAGCGACAGAGGCTGGAGGAAGAGAGACGGAGGCTTGAGGAGGAGGAAAGGCTTAGAAGAGAGGAAGAAGAAAGGAGGCAGGCAGAAGAGGAGAGGCTACGGATTGAGCAGCAGAAGTATGTGTGGTGTTTGTTGATTCTTTTTTTAATTTTATATATAAGCATTCCTCTCCTTTTGTATTTAAATCTGTATGCTTTTTTTTTTAAATCACTTTTTATTTCCATGTATTTTGTGAGACCGAAAACAAGGGTTAGTCCTGTGCTGACACTTGGCCCAAAGATGAAAATCTCACTAAAAATCTGTCTGACTTCCTGTTGTTTTCCTGTATTTCCATTGTCATTCATTTTAATGTAACCAGACAACAGATAATGGCAGCATTAAATGCGCAGACAGCGGTGCAGTTCCAACAGTATGCTGCTCAGCAGTACCCAAACAGCCCTGAGCAGCAGATGAGCCTCATCCGTCAGCTGCAGGAGCAGCACTATCAGCAGTACATGCAGCAGCTCTACCAGGTCCAGCTGGCCCAGCAACAGGTAGGATGCAGAATCCCAACATAACATAGACTTTTCACTGATTGAGTTTTATTGTTCAATATATAGGATTTGCAGTTAATGTGGGAGTACTTAGAATAGATTAGAAGGATTGCCTGCAGGTCTTTCTTTGGCCCCAAATTCAATCTGATCAGTTGACCCCTGAGATTAGTCCCTTAATTAAATGGTAAATGGTAAATGGCCTGTATTTATATAGCGCTTTTCTAGTCCCTAAGGACCCCAAAGCGCTTTACATATCCAGTCATCCACCCATTCACGCACACATTCACACACTGGTGATGGCAAGTTACATTGTAGCCACAGCCACCCTGGGGCGCACTGACAGAGGCGAGGCTGCCGGACACTGGCGCCACCGGGCCCTCTGACCACCACCAGTAGGCAACGGGTGAAGTGTCTTGCCCAAGGACACAACGACCGAGACTGTCCAAGCCGGGGCTCGAACCGGCAACCTTCCGATTACAAGGCGAACTCCCAACTCTTGAGCCACGATCGCCCCATCATTAATCATAATTAACTCTTCATTATCTGACTGAAAGGAATGTGTGTCAGAGCCTAGCAGCTGTATTATCTAGGATAGATTTAGTGTAGAAATCCCTTGCTAATAATTAGCCTTCCAAACTGGGTGGTATATGTCTTGACAACACACACCTTTATTCATGTCCTCTTTAATATCCTGACTGATGCATAAAACCTTCCTGTAAGACACTGGCCTCCCTTTAGAGTCCTTCCAGCTTAAGTGAACTGTTAAATTGCGAAGGAGTTATTGAAAAATAGCCAAAAATGTTTTAAACCTTTTGACTTGAATTACTTTATTTTATACCATTTTTAACAGCCAGGTGTGGTAAACAAAAACCTCAAACAAAGACTAAGATGAAAAATCCCTGAGCAAATCAGTTGTTCAAAAGTCTAGCCCTAGGTCTACTCGTATACAGCAAAGCGGAAAAACAGACCCTTCGGTTTTTGAGATGTAGAGGATTTTGCCAGAAGATGGAAATTTAATTGTTAATAATCTTATCCAACCCTAACACAGCCCTGGTGAAACTAGATTGTTGGTTTCTCTTTCTCATCCTAGGCGGCCTTACAGAAGCAGCAGCAGTCTGATTCAATGGTGCAGGGCACCCTAGAATCTAGCAGCTTCCACACAGGTGAACCCATCCCTGCATCCTCAGCCGGACCATTGTGTGCTGCTTCACCACAGACTGGAGAAGAAGCTCCAACAATCAATGGAGGCCAGTCAGACTCTTACTCAGAGAGTATGGATCGGGAGCCAGAGCCTGAACCGGCAGAAGAGGTCTCAGAGAATGGACCTTTATTAGGTTGGTGGGCTACTCTATATCCATCTCAAAATAAAAGCATGAAATATTGGAGCGGCTAATGACTAGGGGTCAGACAGGGTAAGCTCTCTGTCAGAGCAGTGAAGCGGTCTGCCAAGCTTGAAACCTGATGCTTATCTGCTGTGCCCTTGTTGATGTAACCTGGAGGGCAGAAGAGCTGGAACAAGTGACACACAATAATGTGTTAGTTTAGGTTTCATCCAGTCATATATTCCGCTTACAGGAGTAAAAGACATCACAGTAGATATGCAAAAGTCCTTGGTGTGAATCCAAAACACATCCCTTTCCAAATGACTTCCTTCTTCCTGTTCAGTGGAATGATAAATAAAGCTGGGGTAGCTGTGCCTGCAAAAACAAATCTTTGCTATTATGCACATGGATTCTGGTTTTCTCTGATCGTTCTGAGACACACAGGTTTCCTCCAAGTTGAGCTTGTTTGGGATTCGGTCTGCATATGCTGGAAGGGAATCGCTTATTAGGAAATGTACTGTTTGTTTTGTAAGAAAAACTGGTAGAAAATAGATAATGTCTTCTCTTTCCTTTTGATTGCAGCAGAATCCCCACCAGTCATAGCTGCTCCTTCCATGTGGACACGGCCACAGATCAAGGACTTCAAGGAGAAAATCCGTCAGGACGCAGACAGCGTGATCACGGTGGGGCGCGGCGAGGTGGTGACGGTGCGTGTTCCCACTCATGAAGACGGCTCGTACCTGTTCTGGGAGTTTGCTACAGACTATTACGACATCGGCTTTGGGGTCTTCTTCGAGTGGACGGACGCAGCCTCTGCTTCAGTCAGCGTGCACGTGTCAGAGTCCAGTGAAGAGGATGAAGATGATGAAGGTGAGGGTAGTTTTTTGTTGTTTTTTTTTTTACTTGCTGTACTTAAACACATTCCTTATTATTATGTAAACAGCAGTTATGCATTACAGCCTTGAGGCTTCTCACTTAATCATACCATGATTGGTTTGGTTAATTATTCATGCTGGATGCCCCCATACAACCCCTACAATGATTTGTTCTCCCCCCAGGATCGAACCAGGGTTAGGCAGCTGTGTCAGCCACTACTGTGACTGTTTCCTTTCACTGTTGGGTATAAGCCGTACAGCTGTTTTTGTTTTTTATATATAATATATAGGGAATTTAAATAGTGAATTATATTTATATAGTTTTACTAGTGGCAACACCTAAACTCTTATTTTGAAAGTTTAGTTGCCTCTAACCAGTTAGCCCTGACTGTTCCCCTCCTGTATTTTCCCTGCTGATTGACTTGTTGGTCAGGTTGATCATCCCTCTCCAAAAAGCACTTTGTCCCACGGTTAACAGCGCTCCAGTTCCAGTATCTTGGACTGTAGCTGGCGATGGTGGTCATCCTTTTGCTTAAGAGAACTACCGTCAGTTCAAATGCTTGTCGTATCAGAATAGGCTGAGAACTGGTTAACTGTGTGTGACACTACGGCTACGTTCACACTGCATGCGAAAGCGCATCAAATCCGACTTTTTTGACCCATATCCGATCATGGTATGACAGTGTGAACGGCACAAATCCAATATTTTCAAATCCGATCTGGGTCACTTTCGTATGTGGTACTGAATGCGATACATATCTGATGTTTCAGAAAGCGACTGCTGTTTGAATGGTCATGTGGCATTAAATCCGTCTTTTACGTCACTGACACAAGACAGACGCCAAGTATCGGCGCTGGAGAAGCGCCCGATAAGACATCGCGAATGCTTTCATGGCCATCCCGTGTAGATGTTAGTGAAACTGTTGGGAAGACGGCATTGGAAAAACGTGAACATTTTATTTGTACTGTATAATCTGCAGATTCTGACAGAAATCTGTAACTATCCTTTGAAGCACCGCTCCTCTCTAAAACAGCAATAAGGATAATTATTAGGCCATATGTAAATAACAAAATAGCTTTATAACTTAAAGCAAAATTGGGAAACGTAAAACCCGAAACAAGTCTTTATATTAAGGGCCATCAGTCAAATAATACTGTTTGGTCTGGATCTAAACAGGGCGTTGTGTGTGATGTCTTCTTTTGCGCATGCGGGCCGCTTTGAGGGTTCACACTAGAGCGCGTTTGCGGTCACATTTTATTTGTAATGTGAACAAGCAGACCAAAAAAAAAAAATTGGATTAGATCAAAAAATCGGAATTGAGCATTAAGACCTGCAGTGTGAACGTAGCCTACTGCTGCCCTCTGCACAACAGAACGGTGGAGTTGGTCCACAGAACGAGAGACATGCGATTATATCACTTAGTGCCAAGTTATTTGTTACAAAACTACTGGGAAAATAAAATATTTGCTGAGAAATTAAAAAAAAAGTGTCTTTCATGATGCTCATGCACTTCTGTACATGTACACACAAAGTCTGCATGAAGGCTGTCAATGCTCTAATTAGTGTTGTCTTGTGCTTTATTTCTGTGGCTTCAGTTATAAGCCTGTTTGAGAGATTAGTAACTAGTTTTCCATTAATATTTTATTCTTATCCTACACTTATAATTAATTATCCACTGACTCTTGCCATTGTAACAAAAGTCCTGCCTATCTTTTGTCATATACAGGAAAGCATATGACTGAATACTGGCAGTCAAATTATTGAACAACATTCACTTTTTTTAATAATATTGATATTGTGCTGTTCTCACAGTCCAATTAAATGTTTGGATGCTTTGTCACCTTTAAGTTCTAGTGTTTTCTTTACCTCTCACACTAACCTGTAAGGAATACCCACTGTTGGGCTCATTTCTTGGAATGTAATGCAAAAATCATACAGCACAAAATGTATTCTTGTTTGCGCAAATAATGCATTGGTGTTTTTTTGTTTTTTGTTTGTGTTTTTATTTATGTTTTGTTTTTTTTACCTGCAGGCGAGCCAACCAGTGAGGAAGAGAAGGCCAAGAAGGAGGCAGGGAAGCCTCAGGTGGATGAGATTGTACCGGTTTACCGGAGGGACTGTCATGAGGAGGTGTACGCCGGCAGCCACCAGTACCCAGGTCGCGGAGTCTACCTGCTCAAGTTCGACAACTCCTATTCACTCTGGCGCTCCAAGAGTGTTTACTACAGAGTCTACTACACCAGATAAGCCTGAATACAGACACAAGGGGAGCCAAGGAGTGTGTATGTTCGTATATATAAATATATGTATGTACGTGTGTGTGTGTTTGTGAGGGGGGGAGGGTGAAGATTTGTGTGAAGGCAGCCTGTATTTGTGTGTATGTGTGCGTGTGTGTGAAGGAGGAAACTACCAGATTAATTCTGGATTAAACCACCAGAGGGAGACAAAGAGACACATCTGGAGTCGTAGTCTGGAGACTCGACTAATATGTATTTACTGTATGTGTACGCGTGACCCAAGATGCACCCATGCTAGATCCCGTTATCGAGCCCTTGGAAGAGGAGTGCGTATACCCGTTGTATATTCACCACCTGTCCTTGCTGCATTCACACCAAGCTGTAGGACTTTGCTCTCATGATATATTTCACCAGTTTCCTCCCCTGGGCTCCACTTAAGTCACCAAAGCCCAGCCCAGCACTGTCCAACACGGTGGCGTTGTGGCTGCTTGTGCTCCAAGTGATGCTATCATAACCACAAATGGAAACTTGGTGGCTCCACGAGCCTATGTTTCCCTTTCTTTCTTTTCTTTTTCTGTTTGTTTGTTTGCTTTTGAGTGGAAAAGGTGGTTGTTTATCCCACAAGTACACAGAGGACAATGTTAGAAATCAATTTATTATTAAAGATGTGCTTCATAACACTATGCCTTTTACTCAGAGATCGTCTGGTCTTTGCCAAGTGTGTTCTCACTCATTTAAACAGCCCGGGTTCTCAAACCTGCTCATCCTTTTTGTTGTCACAAAGCCACCGTACCTGTATGAAGATCTGAGAGGATTGTGAAGTGGAACGAGTGGTCTTTTTCATCTTCTTCTCGCAAACGTTCTGTTTCTTATACTTATTTCGAGAGTCAGGTTACAACAGCAGTGTGTGTCTTTTTAAACTTGCATCATTTATGAAGGACCGGCAAGAAGTCATTCAGTAACATGGGTGTTGAAGGAGGGTGTGCAAAACATCATTCACATGGTAATTTATGGCTGTGAGCCTTATCGGCTGCAGAAACGTCACAGTGTAAGAAGTGTAAAAGTCAAATCGGTGTAGGAGTAATTTCCGTTCTCCCACAAATGTTTTTCCGTTTGAGTTTTTACAAAAAAAAAAAAGTTGCTTGTTGACAGTCCCTCATCATATGTGTTGTTCACCACTTGTTAATTAAAGACTCACAAAAAAGAAAGAGCTTGTGTTGTCAATGTTAGCAGGGGGATTTGTTTTATCATTCCTGTTTTCCTGTTCAGAGCTCTGACACGCACGTGACAATAAACTCAACTAACCATCCTTTTTTTTTTTTTTTTTTTTTAAGGTCATAACACACTGTTACATCTGTGTAGAAAATCCATAACACAAAACTCTGTTTTGTCTACTTTTTTCCTTTCTTCCTCTTTGAGTTGTCATCTCAAACATTATGAATTAAAAAAATAAAATAAAAAGGAAAAAAGAGCTGATTAGAATTGTGTTCTGCGTGACACGGTTGCTTACTAACATTTAAATGTTTTTTTTATTATTATTGAAAATGTAATTTAGATTCATTCTGTTCTTCAGCTACGCATGACATATGTACCCAACATCTGAGTGCGTTGTGAGAATTGCTATATGAACTGTGCTCTCTGAATCAAAGTGATTGTCGAATATGGCAAGTGGGCATCGAGGACATTTGATTTCACTTTATCACACTTTAGTTTTTTTTTTGTGTGTGTGTGTGTGTGTGTGTGGGTGTGTGTAAATGCAAAGCAACTTTAAAGACAGAGGCGGAGTAGGAGTATCTTGCAAGCCAGTTAACCCTCCAGTGTTTGCAGAGCATCATTATTTAATGACTCCTGCCTCCAAATCCATTCAGTGATTTGTGCAACAGAATGTCACTACTTGCGGCTCACACAAGCCCTAAACGTCAAGAAAGTCCCCGTAACCTCAAATGTGATTTTTTGTTTTGTTTTTTTTTTTTGTTCATGGCTCATCAAAGGGTTTGATTTGAGATGTTTAAGCCTTGTATGTAAATAATTCTATAAATGATGTTTATGTATGGGTTTTTAAATGTGGAAGAAGGCTGTGGGTTTTTTGCGAATGAATGCACTGTAATATGACACGTGCATTTTACCCCGAATGAAAGTCCAAAACTTGTAGAAAGTACGAGACTCCCTTAACATAAAATTTCATTTTTTTTTTTTGTATTGTTTTAATGTTTGGATCTCTTATGATTTGCAAGATCTTTTTGGGCATATATTTAATCTTGATTAAACGTATCTTCATCTCTATAATTGTCTGCTTATTGCTGCTTGCTCTGGTTTCTATAGCACCAAGGCGTCAGCAGAAAAAGCACAAGTGGATGTAACTCATTTAATAAGAAGACAGTGCCGGTTCACTCACAGTTGATTACCCATGTGCTTGATTTGCAGCGACACAAGCTCATGGGTCTTGCCTCCCAGTAGTTAAGTGGCGAGAAGATTTGTATTTTAAACAAACAGAGGATACGGGAAATGTGAGGACACCAAAAAATGGCCTTGGAACAACACGCCACTGTCAGGCTTGTTCCCTTTTCCACCAGTAGTAAATGTGTCATCCTCACGCTGCTTTCCTGTCAAACACAATTTGTGCTGAGGGAAGGACAAATGCGGATATTGCTCATGCCTGAGAGAACAATCCACTTAACTTTGTGTTTTCTGTGTATGTGGAGTGTCTCAATATTCAGAGCGGTGGGGGCATAAATCCAACATTTTACATGCAAATATTGAGCAACGTGCTACTAAACTATTGCCACATAGAACATATTGAGTAATGAGAAAACGGTGAAAGTGACAGGAATGCTTGCAACTATGCTGGAAGTTGCAGTATTCACTAAAAGACACCAGGGGGCGCATTAATAGCTACGGAGCAGAGACAGGACTTCATCCATTGAACTTGTGGCCTGTTAATTTTAAAAGTGAGTTGAGGGGATGGTGTGCCCTTGAAAAGAGCTGTGAGGAATTTAAAGAGCAGATATGGGAATGTCAGATGGTGAACAGAGGAGCTGGACAAACATGCCATGTGCACACACTGAGGTCATAAATTACAGACAAGTGTTCAGAGAATGTGTTACCATGAGGTTATTTTAAATAGTATGAAAAAAACTTATGTCTATTTGCTCTGTAATAACTGTGGGCAAATTCCCCTTTAAAAATAAATGTGCAACAGACAAGAGAAACATTAGCGAAATAGCAAGAAAATAACATGACTACCTCAAAGTATCCAGACTACGCTACCTACATATCATTTTGTTAACGCTATGATTTTTGACTTGATGACTTTCATGAATATGAGAAACTGAGAAACGATCCGAGACTTACTAACTCAAAATAGCTAAAAATGTAAGAAATTGAAATAAACTCTAGAAATTATAAAATACATATAATTACATTTGTGTCTGACAGTAAAAATTATTTTTTTTTCCTTTTAAAAAATCTCGACATACTCAAAATTAGTGTGACAGGTACTAGCTTAAAATGCTAAGACCATTTAAGCTGACTCAAATTTTGAATTTATGGATGGCATTTTTTTTCAGTTGCAGAAAAACGAAAATAATAAATTAATAAAATGAATGTTTGTGTTCGACAGTTATTTATTTATTTATTTATTGGGGGGGTTAGGGTTGATGAGAGATTTACTAACTATATATAACTATATATATATAATAAAAAAACTAAGTATAAGACTTATTAAGTCAAACCATTTGAGAAAGATTTTAATTTTGATTTCAGATAATAAATAAATAAATAAAAAATACGATCCAGGATCTACAGCTTCCAGGTTTCCTGCTCGTTTCCTTCCTTGTTCCGTTTTCTGAAGAGCTCCGGTCCTTGTTTTGTGACAGGCCGCTCTCTCCGGAGGGAGGCAGGTAAACTCTGCGCTTCTTTCTGGCTCCGGCTCCACTCGCTACAGGTGGTTGTAGTATTTTCCGGGTTTTTATTTGTACTTTTCCCTACTTTTCCTTGTGATTTTTTTTCTTTCCAGCCTGCACTGTGTCTGGTTGAATTTGAATAGACTTTAGGAGGCAACGTCTGCAGTGTACAGCAGCACAAAGTCCCCATGCTTTGAAAATCAGAATATGGCGGGATTCAAGGATTATTCCTCAACCGCGGGGAGGGAGTTCGTGTTGGGTTTGTTTTAAAGCTTTGTTTTTCTCGGCGTGAACACTTTTCGGTCCCGCTGGAGTTATTGGTATGAAATAAATATGCCCTTTCACCAGAGGACTATCGAGCCCCGCCGTGTGAGCAGGCTATCGGCGAAGAAGGATGGCTGGAAACCTAGGGAAGAAGCCGGCAAACGCAAACTGCGAAAACCCGTTTTGTTCTCATCGCTGGATGAGGTTGGCTGTCATACGCTGACTAACGTAATACATCAACTTTCCGACCTTTCCCGACATGCCAGCGACATCTTCCTGGGCATCGAGATGGAGGCGGGGATGGTGTTTAGAAGATCCTGCAGGATCGAGGAGCGCCTGCAAATTCTGCAGGATGAAGTCCACAAGCTTGATCACAAGAAAGTGAAAATCCGTGAGTCTGCACTGTTGGCCACTTGTTTTTGTCCCTCTTACTCTACTGATCTTTCGGCTCCAATCACTTTAGCTTTCTATGAAATGCTTACAAGCCACTATAGAGCACTAAATGAGATCCAGAGACATGCAAAAATGCATGCAGTGAGTTCATATTTGTAGATATGATGTGCATGTTATGTATGATTCGAGAGTTTAAATATGTCTGTGTGAGAGAGGTGCGTCTACCTTCTGGCTTTTCCTGTTATGATAACATGCGCAGTAGTGTGGAGAGGTCCAAGGTGACTGTCATGATTTGTCTTTTTAAAAGAGTCAAAGAGGAGTGACCACTGACTCCTGCCCACATGGCTTTATTTGCCTGATTGGGACTTATGTTAACAGGGGCATTGTGTCAGAAATGATGGATATCCTCTCAACATACTGGCCATCTGTATCCAGGTCCTCAAAGGGCACTGAGATCCCAGGAGACCCTTCACCTTCCTCATCTCTCCTTAATGTCCATAAAGCTGATAAACACACAGACAAATGGAAAATCAATTTCTTTACTTTTAAAGTTTTGTGATTTGTTTAGCCTGCTTTTATTAAAGCTCCCTCCTTTAGGAGGGTTAAATATTAACTGAGACTGACTCATGCTCTGGTGACTGTGCAAGCAAGACTGAGAGATAGGCCTGCTGAGCTGCAGACCTGAGGCAGAGCCTTTGAATGACTGCATATCTGCCTCTCGACACCTATTTAAGACTCTGTTATGTAGTAATGTGTGTAAACCCAGCAGTTAAGGGATCATGTTTTCTATTGAGTCCCTGCCTCTTTTTCTTATCTAACTTGCTTCCGAAATGTATTGCAAAGTAGTGCTGGGAAGATTGGTGCAAATTCCTCTAAACCCAAGTGAAAGAGGAGGATTTCATCTCTGACTCACTCACTTTTGTTTCCTTTTTACTGTCCTTCCTCCTGCATTTGATCCGCGTCTGTCCATCCTGCCTTGTGTCTAAATATGACTCACCCTTTGTCACACAAACACACACAGGTTCAAAAGTGACTGCAGAGAAATGATAAGCCGAACAGGCAGACAGATCCCAGACGGAGGTGAAGGGGTGTAGGGGTGCCCACTACATGACAGCAACCAGTCCCAGTCATGACTCGACTGCTCCCATTTTCTGTACCTGTTGGAAGTTTTGATGCGGTTTTAGGCGGGACTGGGAGCTCTTTCTGAAAGGGTTTGTCTCATTTAAAGACCTGATTCATCAGAAGCCGAAGACGAGGTGTGAGAGAGTAGGCTGGAATGCGGTGTGTTACGTCGCGATCTGCAGTTCCCACACGCCCTCAAAGCCGTGTGTTAGGTTTACAGAAGCGCTGAGTCTAGATTTATTACAACGCAGACACTGAAGCTCAACGCCAGCTTTTTCCACACATGGAAACACCTGTATTTTTTTTTTTTGAAGTGCCCTCCAGCGTTAATCCATGAAAAGAGTCCTGGATCTGAATATGCCAGAACACCTGGCAGAATTTGGTATTTGAATAAAAGTTACTGTGTCATGCGCATGACTCCAGGAAACAAAGCATTCTTTGCCATGTTGTGCTATTTTACAGCTGTTTCTCACTGGTTTACAAAGTGAGGAGCGGCTGTTAAATGACAGTGTTTAGAGTTGGTGTTTACCTCAAATCCTTGATGAGACATAATGGTATGTTGCTTGTTGGGTAGTGCTGACTACCCAACCCTGAGGAATGCACTGTATTACATAAATTTACCAGCCTGCTTGTAAATATCTGCGGCTGGTCACCCTGTTGTCTTCTGCTCCTGTGGCTCAGGGTTCCTACCCTAACCTCAGAGCTCTGAGCCAGATCATGTTACTGGTGAGGGGCATGAAGAGGGGCTCTTGTGCACTGAAAGACTGACATTGAAGGAAGGGCGAAGTAAGAGTGTGTGTGTTTGCGCACTCCTACCTCTACACTGATTGTAATCAGTGGCAGTTTGAACAGAGACATGATAGGAAAATGGGATTTCCTCATTGTGTGTATTTTGTCTGCTTTATTCCAGTGTTGATCCATGTGTTCTGAAGGAGCGGACCCCAGAGCAAAGGTCACAGGTCATCCTCTTGTGTCTCAGCAGGGAACACCTGACACTCAGAGTCAAGAGTTTAAACAAAGTCTAGTTTGGTTAGCTTGGATTTCTGCTGGCTGCCAACAACAGCCACTCCTGCTAAGTTTGGCACATGGATCTCGTTTGCTCCACCCTGGTGTATTACTTGTATTAAGTGCAATTGTATTAATAATATTAATAAGGCTAATGCCATGGATACTAGAAATAAAAACGGTTTCAAGTCCCTTAACCATGCTGTTTGTTCCAGATGAAGATGTATTATTATGCCTTAACTAATCCAAACATCTATCTCTCTAGCTTTCTCATCAATACTTGATTGTTTTGGAGCTCATGCTGATACACAGACTCATAAATACAGTTCAGGTCAGACACCGTTCATTGACAGTATCCCTCCACTACCTATTTCCTGTCATTTCTCCCCCTTCATCTCTACAACCCATCTTTTGTTCCTCATGAGAAAAGTTCGACCTTGAGAACCACGCCAGGCTCTGCTTCCCCCAGAGGTCTGTGCACTTCTGTACACCGAGTAGCCATCGCTGCGATGTCACAAGCTTGACTTTTACTTGAAGTATGAATTTAGCTGTATATTAGAAACGTATTCTTTTCTGCCAAATATAACTCTGGGTTGA